TATAAAAGTAAACTGCAGTTTTGATGGTTGCGACGTAGATAGCGATTCCTTATTTTTTCAATTTGTCTTGAACAGAGTGTGGATTTTTACTTTCTAGTGTCTTAAACAGGGAAAGGGTTTTAGACCGCTGGCGGCACGYACCTATCTAAAACGGGGTCGAGTACCCCCCCGGGATAAACTTTAGCTTACTCTGGACTTACTCGAAGACTGACTAAAATGTGAAAACATGCYCTGATGTTCATGCCCAGTGATCAATCCTGTAGATATTCAGACACAAGACGAAGTAAAGAAGAATTACAGTCTTGAATAAGTTACCTGCTTTCGGTAATCCTAAATCAACTCTATCGACTTATCTCACGTCCGCCATCTTAGTAACACAGGAAGCCCGCTGAAACCCCAGGAGTCTTCACTCGATTTGATCACGTGCGCAAAGGTGACAATAAAATGGCGGTAGATCGATAGACTAGCTGACAAGAAACTATGACAAAAACTTGAAATAATACCGATAATTGCGAGTGCTTCGGCTACTATGACAGATTGATAAAGATCCTACGTTAGTTTGTTTTCAAAATACCCGATTATATTGTAAGGAGGTTTTGGAGCTCATAAAATATGTCTATTAAAAGAACCAAGGCAGAATTGGCAAAAACACGAAAGGAGATACAAGAAGAAGAATAGACCACAAAACGTCGCACTGGTAAACATTTTATCATYAATTGTTGTATTTTTGCATTATGATACGCGATTTTGGAACTCTAGATCGCCTTCACTTTCATTGTCAGGCCATGACGCCTTGAAACACTAAACTCGGCCTGATTGATATTGATAATCGATGGCCAATCGATGATCAATCGATGAACGAAAAAATTGTGATTTTCATATCGATTGACAATCGATCATCGATTGCTATTGATTGTTACCCATTGATCTAGAATCATTGAATACTAAAAACGATGTCAAAAGTTATTACTGTAATGTGGTGTTATAAACGATTATATCAACAATATCAATATACAATGTGCCCAAAACTGCTGGTAAACTTTTAAGCTTAATTAGTAGTCTGACCTTCGCTGTCGACATGGATTGTAGCGGGATTGTAGCCAGACTACAAACAACAAAAACTTTGTTATAAAATTGATGATATATAGCGTGCGCTCTGATTGGCTGACGACTGTGTTTACATCAGAGGACAGAGACACGGCTTACCAGCAAAAGTTTCTTTTTGCTCGAAAAATTTTTATAAAAGAAATGTAAAACGGCCGTTAGTGTCTCTGTCCTCTGATATAAACACGGTGGGAGTTGAAAAACACTCGAGAAGCAAGAGAAACACTMGYTAYRCTYRTGTTCCTAAGCTTGCTTCTCTTGTGTTTTTCAAACTCCCACTGTGTTTATATCAGAGGACAGAGACACGCGCGCTGTTTTATATTTCTTAATTAAAATGTTTTCGTAGAAGAAACAAAACTGAGTATTTAAACAACTTTCTTTTATGCACCAGTCATTTGACATTCCCCGCACCCCGCCTGAGGCATACCCGGGGACATAGCGGGGATATCACCCTGTTTTCACAGCTATTTGACTCCCCGGTAGTCGGGGATAGCGCTTCAATTCACAGCTTCGACTTCAAGCCGGGGACTAACCCGGGGACTGCACTTTTCCTTGGGGCCTGGTACAGAGTGAGCCCTGTTTATTATGTAGTCATGGCGGCTGAAATGAAGAAGGTAAGATTTGTAATATCCCGGATGATTAAGTAATTATYGATGTGCAATCATGCGTGTAATTTCACTACATGTGCTTTTGATATGTATTAAACCAGTGACTGTGTGAACCGATTCTAGTATCAAGTTATACTCAAACCACGGATTCAACAAGATTTTCATCTTATTTTTACTATGTTATTCTAAGCAGTCAGTGCTGAAGAGAATGATACATGTAATGTTCAGGATAATGATTATGATGATATTGAGTCCCCATACTGCTCATGTGGTCAGCCAAATGACGAGTGGATGATTTTTTRTGATGGYGATGATGAGTGCCAGTACACTTGGTTCCACYACTCATGMGTTGGATTGAYAGAAKAAACTGTCCCACCTGGGAAATGGTTCTGTGATGGTCAGTTATCATCTATAACAGTACTGAATTAMATTATCTGAAGTACTGTTATGTCAGTATTGCAGCATGATCAATAATATGCCTAGAGTAGYATACTTTAAGTGAAATAATGGCGATATTTCTATTTTTATAGACTGTAGCAAGAAAAGGAAGAAAAAGAAAAAGGGGAAAGATAACTTGTAAACTAGTTGTATGACATGAATTAAAGTATTGTACACTTCAATCTATTTTTTCATTGTCTGTGAACACATGCTTATTCGATGACGCGGGGACTTTTATTTTTTTTCCCCTGCAGGTCGGGGTTTTCACTAGTTTTCACGGAGGGAAAAAGTGAATGCCCCGGGTATGCCTCAGGGGGGGTGCGGGGGATGTCAAATGACTGGTGCATTATTAACCTAGTACTAAGAATGATTGAAGCAGGTTATATTTTTTTTATTTAAGGTTTTTATACAAACAAACATGTAGCTAGTAACAGTTTCATAGTAAAATTTACAAACGAASCCTGTCCGCACTCGACTATTGAGACCGATTTTAACATCGAACTAGACGCTTGTAAAGCGTGATGCGGGCTAGCTTAGCAAAAGATTTTCAATACAAGATAAAATTGTATTTTCAATGAATATTGTGAAAATGACGTAACTATATATGAAAGTAAAATATGCCATAGAATACCTTAGTTTTCTTTGCAGTTCAATTCTTATCGTGTACCACAATATTCTTTTCTGGAAACTAATCGTTAACCTTCACTGTCTGCTATAATCTTATCATATATCAACTATCAACCATAATCGTTTTGCTATATAGTGATTGTCCTACATTTGCAATGTATTTTGTAATAATATCTATGGAAACTCTTTACTTCTTGGTTAGCGATATCACATTATTATTTACATAGCAATGCATTTTAGATGACATGGGTGCATTCTTTAAATTTTGTTTTTACTAGCCTTTTTTCGTACAAAAGAAATCTAAAAATTGAAGCAAAACAAAGTTCAATTTCAAAACTTGTACTTTGTCATCTTTAACTAATAAAAAACCCCGATGATATTAAAGCAATTTCTTTGAATTTGAACAATAAAAACATTGTCATTTAAACAGAAAAATACCTTTTGCTGTCTAAAAATGTGGAAAAAAGCCAGTATTTGAGCTGATTTCATGTTGAAGCTGTACTGAATAATCATCAAGCTGGACTGGTGAAGAAGGMGAGTTTTTGGAGTTTTTCAAATATTTAAATAAAAATCCCATTTTATTGTATGTTCGAGTTGATAAACATATTGTATTACATTGCTTTAGCTCATTTTTGTTTGAATACAATCTTATTTGATGCTCAAGAAATTAACCTAGACAGATGGACATATAGTTGCCAATTACACTGGTTAAAAGTCCATGCTAAGTGCTTGTCTAGACTATATCAACAATTTGCGACTATATGTCTAGCCACCAGTTTAAAATTTTCATGATTTTCATGATTTTTCAATCGATAATCATCGACTGGGCCTTTTTTTGTGATTATTGATTGGTCATCGATTATCCAATGTCAATTGATTAAATGACATTGATTGATATCGATTTATTGATTGGATTTCTGATTATTGATTTCATTGATTAAGTAGGCCGGGAATGTAAAGTCTTGGCCCAGTAACAAAATGGGCCATGCCATTGAAGTAGACTCGAAATGGTTACCAGAAAATATATGTATTTGATTGACTATGTATTTGATCCATATATCATTTCAAATTTGTAGTGTTGGTGATACATATTAAAAAAAAATCATTGCATAGTTTTTTCAAAATAGAAAAAACGTTTTCATTACAGAATGTTTTTAAAAATCAGGCTATTTAATCTTTACTTTGATTAGAATTGATTAAAAACCATTGTTGAGATATTTAGGAATTTGTAGTCTGTACACGTCAGAGGGGTAAAACTTGTGAATCCACAGCTATCTCAACTGCTGGCAACTGTCAAAATCTTTCCTTGAATATCACCAGATGACAAACTTTCTTTGAAGACATTGGATCGGCACACCTCAGGGACTRACAATGAATAATTTCATCAGTAAAAAAGATATTGAGGAATTGGTGCTCTGGACAGAAACTATGAATGAATCTACAGAGACATACACAACCATGGCTAGGATTGATGCAACCACTGGGAGTGATGGAACTACTGAGACTGATGCAACCACTGGGACTGATGCAACCACTGGAACTGATGCAACTATTAGAACTGTTGCAACTACTAGGTCTGATACAGTGATGRAAACACCTGACAAAATATAAGCAACACCTGGTTCCAGTATGGAATTTATGCAACTSCCAACTCTGATGAGTGTACCACCCTTTATGCCAACAACACCACACCATTGGTCTACAGACATCTTGGAACAGCTTAAAAACGTAGAGGCCAAATTGACCACGATACTAGCGAACCAACAAACAGTAATGTGTGAACTAACTGGACTGAAAACCTTACTGTCCACTGACATACTAACAAAGCAAAACACTAAGACACCTACATCACTGCCAACTTTGATGGAGCTAATTAACATTGCGACATCAACACAAAAACAGTCACAACTGATAACAACTACTAAATTTGACTACAATCATAGCTTTCCTGCCCTGGCCTTTCCTTTTCTTGGCTCTAATGATAATATACTATCTACTTCTTTTAGTACGTGCACCAATAGACCTAATCGGCTTCAACCCAATTCAAACCACCCGGGAGTAAGTTTCATTGTTCGTTGTATTTTCATTTCACTGTTGAATTCTTAGAAACAAAAGTTCTTTTTCCCACAGGATTTGAATTGGGTAGCAACGTACATAGCAACGCCGTTAGCCGATTAGGTCTATTCTGCTACTAATGCGCTTGCTAATAGCCACTCTATGACTGCCACTAATGCGCCTGGACAATTTACGACATCAACACCAACAGCTATCAACAGACCAAACAGATATCCAGACAAGGATGTGGTGAAGAGTCTTTTCCAGACAAAAACAAGGGCCAACTTTTGTGTGAGCCTTCTTTGCTGCATTTATCCCAATAAAAATGGCCTAACCAATACCAATGTTAATGGTTCAAATACAAAAAGGCTGCTAAACATTAGTGTAGTGAACTATCTGAAAGACACATACTTTCACTATTATAAGGAATGGAAAAAGTGGAAGGTAAGGACAAGGAATGGAAAAAGGGCACTAAGTCATTAGAGAGTTTTAGATCGGGGATTTTTTCGCTCAACTGCAAACTTCAAACTTCAAAATACAGCTGGGACAGCTTYTAGCGGTAAGTGAATTACTTCAAGGTTTTTATGCTTATTTGTTTCACAAAACTAAGTATTAAGCAGCTTTTTTTGTTTTCACACAACTGTTGTTTTAGAATATCGACATATTTTGAAAAACACACGAAATGATGTATTGATTTGGTTCATATAAGGAGGTAACTTTGTAAAGACAATTAACATAAACATGGCGGATTCATAGCTCAAATGRGAACAGCAGTACAAAAACACAATTTTGCTTCATTTTGAGGTCTGCTTGTTTTCTTTTAAGATGGCACCCTTTAGATAGCCTTCTCTCTTTACTGACACCATGTTGGCAAAGGAAGCTGCGGCCAAAAAAACAAATTGCCCACAAGATTAGGAAAACATTGCTATCTCAGTGACTTCTTCTCTACTGATAAGAAAGCCATACAGCTCACTGGAAGAGCATGCCGAGAAAGGCTTGACCGCCTTATTAAAAAGCACAAAGAAGAGGACAATGCTTCTCTGAAAAGGTATTTTTTATCAATTATAGGACAATACTATGACTAAAGATGTTACGATAAAGAATAAAAAATAGAAAGGATGCTTTCTAAATATATAGTACTGGAATAAGCATATATGCAATGGGATTTTTTAGCCTTACATGTAGCAAGGGTTAGGCATAGGTTTAATAGTGTAATATTTTACTTGGCAGATCTAGAACTGAAGAAGAATTTCAAGAGTTACAGAGACTTTTAGGAGACTGAAATACAGGATTGGGAAGTCATTGCTAAAAAAAGGAAGAAGAAAACAAAAAGAAAAAGGCTGAAAGTGATAAAAAGAAAGGCCTTGAAATGCGAGCCGCTGCCTTAACTGCCATGAAAAGTAAGTGCTCTTATGTTCTTTTGTAATACGGACTGTACCCTGTATTGCAGGGTACTCATCTACCCTGCAAATTGTGTAACATGTGAACACTGATGGGCTAGAAATCAGTCTTGGTTCTCTATTGTATTTATTGTCAKTGTAGAACATTTAGTTTTGAAATGATTGCAATGTTTGGATTTCAGAAAGAAAAGCTGAAGCAAACAAATCAGGAAATGATGACATCAGTAGCAGCTCAGGTGATGATGATGATGATGAAAATGACGATGACTTCAATGACCATGACATTTTTAGTGCTGGGACTTCAAAAAGTAAAAAAAAACAAAAACAAACAAACAAACAAAAGGTTAGAAAGCTAATTGATGTTGTTCTCTGATTTTATTTCAAATGTCTAAGTAGTTTTTCACTCAAAGAGCTTCAGAGATGGAGCTAGAGCTTCAAAAACAAAAATTTTAAGAAGAAGCTAAAGAAAGGGAAGCAAAGTTTTTGCTAGAAATCGAAGAAAGCAAAATGATGATTAATTTGATGAAAGAAAAGCATTAATTCTTAAAACATGTCTTTTGATAGTCATGTTATCTTTATTGTATACATTTTTATGTATTTATTCATATAGCATTGAAATATTATTCATATTAACATTAAAAATGTGTTCTATATATATGCTTATTGATTAAAGAACATTGGACAATTCAAAGTTTTGTGATAGTTGAAATGAATAACAAGCTATACATTTCATTGTTTTTGTCTTAAAATTTACAAATACCAAAACATCACTTGAATATTTTGAAGCGTATTTTCATCTCTTGTTGATAGAGATAATAGTAAGTTTGCGGCCTCGTTGTCTTCATTCGTTTTTATGCTTTCTTCTTCGGATGTTACGCTAGAAGTGGCGGTAGTATGTGTGTGAGTTGTTATTTGACTATGATGGAGACCCATTGTTAAATTGGATGKTACATTGGCATACTGTCCATGAAATGCTGGTGGATAGTAGTAGCCGTAATGATAAGGAACTGTGGGTACCAGATTAGGAGAGTTAGGGTAACTAGTACAGCTTCCTGCGTTGCTTCCAGCGCTCAATGACAGCGCAATTTTAAGTTGTTCCTCTTCCTCTTCTCTATTTGTAGGCATATACCTAATTAGGTTGTTATCAGGAAACTGGATACTATGGCTCTCCAAAACTTCTTTAAATGGATTGCCACGATGACTAGAACCGCGTTGCTTTGCATGTGAAAGTAATGTGCTTGTCGGTTRTTGACTTTCATCCTCGTTACTCGCAAGAGCAAGGTCGAGAATATTCTGTAGCTCATGTTTTGGTGGTATTYGACCGTTCATGTCCTTTTTACAGTATTTTTCTATTGCATATACATGTTTCCGAAGAAGTTGCCAGTTCCTCAATCCTCTGTCAGTATACACATCACCAGGTTCTTGGAGAAGATTGTTTTCAATCCTAACAGTTATTGAGTTTTCCACTTTATCAACAGCAGCTGTCCTATTTTCAATGTCTTCAGTTAATTGTTGTATTTCGCTATCTAATTTGTTTATCGATTGACGAAATTGTTWTWACTGTGAAAGTTCTCCAGGATGAAGTTTTTCTTYGMCACACTTGTAAACTGAAGTCTGTGCTGTATGTTTTTACCTCATATGACAATTACGGCACATAATTCCTTCCTTTCGACTTTACTCTTTGGATTCTTTCTAACATATCCCTCTCCTTCATTTTTAATGTTATTCTCGCCTTTTGTTTTTCTTCTAGCTTGTTCTTCACATTTTCAATATATCTCTGTAATGGCGTTTTAGGCTGTGACTTGGGTTCACTTATCGCAGTTTCGGCAAAATCGAGACGTTTTTTCTTGCACTTTCACCGCYGCTGGGTAGAGTTACGTTTGTTTCAAAYCTTTGTTTTTTCTTTGAAGGGCTCGCTTGCGCTTGTGGTGTCAGGGAATCGTCAATTCTTATACATAATCTAAGGATATTCTCGTAATTCATAACCTGATTAATACATCGTAGTGCATCGTGGAAGTCAACCTCCTCAGTCATTACRACAAAAGTCCCTTCGTCATCCTGATACTGAATTCTTTGCTGTTTTTGAGCTCCCACTGCTTGATGAATTGGTTTAGAGAAGCTATGAAATCCCATTTCCGTTAATTCTACTTTTTCTACGTTTATAATTTTGCATCTTTCATAGTTAGCTCCATAAAGGAGTTTAACTTTGACAACCCACCCGGCCGACATGATTGTGAATGCTATAAACTTACTAGTAATTTCACACAAGGCATGTTACCCTCTGCGCTACATATAAAAGCTTCACACGTCAAACTTGAAAGTTTACATGTCAAACCTGAAAGATTCCCGCCCAAACATGACAGACTCACATGTCAAACTTGACAGATTAATTGCACAAACGTCTGGGTAAAAACATGATAACAACTCGTTTGTCGGTAAACAGTAAAYGGAAGCTCGAAAATGGTAGTAACTTGAACCATATAAATCCAAAAAAGGCAAATTTCTGCACAATTTTCCCAAATTCCCACTCCACAGATACTTTCAGTCAGATCATTGCCTTGTTAAATTCTTGTTGGTCTGGTATCAATTGTGCTCCTTGAAAGGGAGCCAAAATGTGTCTTGAAATACCATGGGCTGGGTCTCCATAAACCACAACCTTTTCCAAAACCACAGACTTGTTACAGACATGTCACAGGTCTGAAATTCGTATTTACAGCTGACCTGCAGGTGAAGGGAGGCAAAATGATAATTTCAGGGTCCGTGCAGGTCCTTAAACTCCTTGAAAAGTGCTTAAATTCAAAATTCATTTTCAAGGGCACTTGAAACTCCTTGAAAAACGAGAAAAAGTAAAAAAGTCCTTGAAAAGTCCTTGAAAAAGTTCTCGTTAAGAAACTCAATAAAACTTTTAAAACATTTACACTCTCAGCTCTTATTATTTGCGTCTTTATTGTTATTTTTTATTTATTTATCTTTTTCGGTTATGCACATTTGACCAGAGACGTTATGCGAACCAAGCGACTACGGCCGGAACTCAAACCGGGTTTCCTTTGGCATCACGTGTTATTTTCGCGCGCTCTGTATCACGTGATGTAAAGTCTCGTCGATTTCTGTACTTTTGCTTGTGGGCGAGTTTGTGGGCGTACACGACTGAAGTAGGTAAGTAATATTAATTTCTAACATCCATTTACTCTTGTTTCTTATCTCATGAACCAATTGCTACTGTATTATTGATCATTACTATTGGTTTTGCTCTGAATTACATAAAAAACGCATGAACTTTTTAGTTTTGGTCAGCAACCGAATTATGAGTTGATTTGCCTTGCTTTCAGACTCACTTCATTTATTGTTTGATTCTTTTAGATAATCTATTTGCATGTACAATCCTTATTAAGTAAAATTAAGCCTAAATATGTTTTGAGTATTATATTAAGTGGGCGAGAAGTTACATTGAGCTATTTTTTTGTGTCAAGACAACCTGATTTTGGGCCATCTTCGCGCCCGTTCAGAGATCACTCATTTGAGAGTTTTAGCATCACGTTGACGGCTAACGGCAGAGCTGAACCAATGACCTAAGAATTTCGTGCCCGAACTTGTGATTTTGGTAGTCATTTGAAAGAGCAGCTTTTCACGATTATGGCAACCTCAAAATAACCCGCTCTCGCGTTGAAACTGCAACATTAAACTCAAAAACAGCAGGTCAGGTGATCTTTTCTGCCGTTTGGCGTTTGCCGTGGCAATATTTAACGGGAATCCTTTTGAATTACATAATGCATGCGTTTTTATATTAATATTTTTTCATTGTTAATTCATATGGGATTAATTCATTTGGGGGCTGTTTACTATATTTAAAATCATGTTAGAGAGGTTTTATTAAAAAATGAGAACTCAGTTACTAAAGGATAATAGAGTGTAATAGTTTTAGTAATAAGTACGAATTACAAATTAACCATTTCAAATGTGTAAGGGTACAAATTACACTAAAGTTTTACAGGGTTAATAAAAACCTCTCCAAGTTAAGAAAAAATGTTCTTAAATCATTAAATGTCACTAAAGAAATACAAATCCCTCCATTTTTTTTAGGTAGCAAAGAACAGCAAAGCCGAATGAATATCCAAACACTTCCAAATGAAATACTCAGCAAAATATTCTCTTCGTTAAAACTTTCTTTCTGCTTGACATGTCTAAGTAAAGTCTGCAAGAGGTGGCATTTCATTTGTAGCTCTTGTCTACCATGGTGTGAAGTTGAAATTGGAAAAGGGAACTTTATACATGACTCAGAAACCCTCTATCAAATAGTGAAGCACTCAAGACAATTCAAAACATTTAACATTGGTAATACACTTGAGATGTACTGGCCAATAGATGGCATCACAACTATTTTCGATAATTATTTCCATGCTCCTAAACTACAGGAGCTAGATCTATCTTTTAATAGCATTACTACACTTCACTTTTTAGAATGGTGCCCAGAGTTAAAGAGGCTTATCCTTAAAGGTTGTAAAGCACTTATTAGCATTGACGTTAATTTACTTAGAAGGTATGTTAAAGGACTTAGAGTTCTTGATATTTCTAATTGTATCTTTATAAGAAATGTCCCAGTACTAGACGAAATTGCTATGGGTTTACCTCAGCTGCAGGAGCTGTATGCATATGATATTGCAATAACATTACCATCTTTGAGTAGAATCCTGCAGGCTCGTGCTTTCAATAATCTACAAGTTTTAGGAGGTAATTGCGATTTTGGCCATCGTACATGGGAGTATATGAATTTGATCATTGGAAAATATCCAGACTTTGTACTACTATTGAAAGAGTTTGAAGATGATATTAGTTCTTTAGTTTCCTATCCATCAGGTTCTGATACTGAGTAATGCATATTATTATAACACAAATATATACCACCTATATTTCGTTTATTATTGGCTTTTTATTAAGAGAAGAGCATGATTAAGTACTTGTTCAATTTTAGACTGCAGTTATTTTGAATGCTGTGCTTTTTGTTATATTGCATTTCATCTGATTAATCAGATGGAAATGAATGTTAATACCTGTTACTGACCAGGGATCGGTTATACAAAGGTTGGATAAAGTTTTCTAAAATATTTAGGATACTACGCGCGCTGTGATTGGTTGAAAACCATGTTTGATTACAGTATCAAAACACGCTCGCACGCGTCAAAAATTTCTTTTTTCCCGCCGTTTGCATTTGTTGTTGTTATCATTCATTTTCAAGAACAATTAACGAAGAAATGCTTATTTATGATGTCCTCTGGGATGATATCCCAGAAGAAGAGCTATCAAACGTTTTAGAAGCTACAGAAGCTTCAGACAACTGCAACAGCTGCAATGTAAGGAGAATTCATCGTTTCATATCGCATCGAAAGTCAGAATTATTTACAATTTTCGTATTCTTTTAATTTTAGAAAAGAAATAAAAGACGAAATTCCGTGTTTGATACTCTGATCAAAACACTTGGGATGTAGTGAGAGCACTCGAAAAGCTGGAAACCACCCCGCTACGCGTCGTGGTTTCCTACGCTTCTCTCGTGC